CCTTTTTGCTATGGTGGGCGTCGCCGCGGAGTCGCTACCGCGCCGTGTCAATGATGGAAACATTACGATTGTGCAATCTTTAGCATTCAGGGTTAATTCTTTTAAAGAAGAGAAAAAAAAGGAAAAGTCGAGCATCGCAATAGCGCTTGCAATTCTTTGCGAAAAGAATTAAGCGTAACGGTAGCAGCCATCTTAATTTTTGGTTCAATTTTTGTGGCCGGTGACTATAGTCACCCAACGTGTGTAGATGGCGTCTCATGGCCGGTGATTATTGTCACCCGACGTGTAGATGGCGTCTCGTGGCCGGTGACTATTATCACTCGGCATGTGTAGATGGTATCTCGTAGTTTGTGAGTATGGTCACCCGACGTGTGTAGATGGCGTCTCGTGGTCGGTGATTATTGTCACCCGAGATTTGTAGACGGCGTCTTGTAGTTGGTGACTATAGTCACCAGACGCGTGTAGATGGCGTCTCGTGGCCGGTGATTATTGTCACCAGACGTGTGTAGATGGCGTTTCATGGCCGGTGATTATTGTCACCCGACGTGTGTAGATGGCGTCTCGTGACCGGTGACTATTATCACCCGACGTGTGTAGGTGGCGTCTCGTGACCGGTGACTATTATCACCCGATGTGTGTAGATGGCGTCTCGTAGTTGGTGAGTATAGTCACCCGACGTGTGTAGATGGTGTCTCGTGGTCATTGACTATTGCCACCCGTAGTAGAGAAAGGGTTAAGTTATTCAAGAAGAAAGATTCGAAAAAATAGAGAATTTCTGCTGATATGTATATATAAAGTTTCTATTTCAGAGCTTATTGAACTAGCATTGAAATTGATTAATCAGATAATGAAGAAGGAAGATTCAGATGAATAGAGAATCTCTGCTAAGATGCACATGGTATTTCAAACCTAATGGACCAGAATCCAGTCCTATCTACTTAAAATTACTTCAGATTTCCTTTTCCAAATTCCTCACGAAAGGCTCAGTTCTGTCTCATCTAAAATCAAGTCTACTCAAAAAATCCTAATTTGTTCAAAAAATTTATGAACAATTCTAATTCAGTCAGTTCATATTGAAACCTATCTATCCACGAACTCACTATGAACGGCATTATTAACTCGCTAAGCTACTTGAGCTCACTACTGAGCACGAACTTACCTCTGTTTCAACTTTCTTCCTCGACATATTTTATTAAATTTCTTATGATTGTGGGATCCAATTATAATTTCTCGAAGGATAAAATTTATTAAATTTCTCACGATTGTGGAATCCAATTATAATTTCTCGAAGATTGAAAGATTTGTCGAAAATCGCACGTACCTTTGTCAAAGATAATTTTCGAAGACAGGTAAATCTTGTAGCCTCACAGGTGTACGTAGCCCTCTAATTGCTTGCGTATCAGACGACGAATGCGTTTCTCTGTGTCTGTATATACACATTATTTTTGTTCGATGTGTTCGTCACGAATGTTCAATGTGTATGTTTATATTCAACACGCATGGAACGGTGAAGGCAAAGATGGGAAATTAATAAACGCCGTTAATTGTTGAACAAAGCATTCTGATCCATTCACTCGCCCGTCTATGTGTGAAATTCTCCATTTTCCCTGTCAGAGCTTTCATTCGCTGTCCCACCTATTTATCGTTTTATTTAATCGCACTTTTGTCCATCTTTCTATACAGGGTGAGTCTGGAAATGTGCAGTGGATTAGAAAAAGTATCGTATAATATTTTCAGCCAGATTTTGTATTATCTGATCTTTTGTGAGGAGATTACGATATTTTTTAATGAAGGATGATTTTATGCTGTATAATAGGCGGCAAAATAGCACAGTCTATGATTTTCAGTGTTTCCTCAGTAACTTCAAAATTATATATAACTATAAAAAATTATACGATTGTTAATTAAATTTGATTTTGCTGAGAAATATTACTATTGTACTATACCTCTGATAAAAATGTTGAAAAAGTATTACTATTTTTGAAATATTTTTTTATATCTGGAATGTAGTAAAAATTGTTTTTTATTCCATAGTATAATTTACTATAATATAATATATTAATATAATACAATATTTTATTTTTAAATATGGAATTTTATTCACAAGAAAATTAAAAATAGGAGAAGTATAAAGAGAAGCTTCTTAAATCTTCATCTGTAATCAAAATGAAAATAGAAGTTGTTCAAATTGCATGACACACCCTGTATGTTTGCACATTTGCACCTGTTTGTTTATTAGACCTGTAAATTTATGTGTCCAATTATTTGTTATTATTGTTTATTCATGTGTCTGCGTTTCAAAATCAGTTTAATATATTTCGAAGATGGAATGTAGAGTACAGTAATTAAAAAATTATAATGAAAAAATAAAACACTCAAAAATTGAACAATGAAATTTATTTTGTTCATAGATAATAGTTGAAAAATTTTTATTAAATATGAATTTAACAAATTTAAGTGAACTAAATTATAAAGTATCTATAAAGCAATTTTACATTAATAATTTATATAAAATAATTAAAAGAGAGAAAATTTTTGATAAATATAAAAAGAAACGTGTGAAATGCTTAAAAAATAAATCAAAATTAGAAATATTAAAGCAACTGTAATATGTGTATAAGGTAATTAAAAATGAAAAATTTTTCCTATATTTCAGATTAAAAGTATTTGAACTATTTTTAAACAAGTTAAAACTGAGAGTTTTTAAAAATATAAGATGTTTATATTATATACTATATGATGTATACTACAAAGCTTACAATTTTTCAAAAATGTTTTAAATTGAAAGTATTATAATTTTTCAAAAATATTTTGAATTAAAAGTCTTATAATTTTTCAAAATAATTTTAACAAATATACAAATTTATAAATCAAATGTTTATAAAGCGTTTGGAGAAATGAAAATATTTTGGTAAATATATTTACAAAATACTACAAACTTACGAAATTTCCAAAACTCTCTTAGATTTCAGAAATTTATTTAAAAAACAAAATGTTTATAATTAAATAAATATTTTAATCGATTAATTCTAACTTATCTATAAAACAATATGTAATTAAGAATGTTTCAAGAAATTTTCAAAAATGTAAAATGTAGAAAAATTAAATTCCTAAATAATTTAAATTTATTACTAAATAATTAAATGTTAAATATATTAAATTTATTATTAACAAATTATTAATTTCTAAATGAAAATTAATTAAGTTAAAATTAAAATTAACTTTAAACTCCATGATCTCTGTTTTCGAAACACCCAGTATATAACCTACGTATAGAGCGGAGAGAAAATTCAATTTTAGGTAAAACTATACCAATAAACGTGGGTCAGAGGATGTTCCTGAAAGAGTTATTGCGAGAGAATTTCCGGTTTATCGTAGTCGTTAAATTTTTATGTTTCGTCGAAATTAAAAAATAAAAATATGACGAAGCAAAAGTTAGCTGAGAGATAAATTCCAATATCGTAAGTTCACCGAGGGAACGTAACTTCGACGATACTATCTCAATTTTTAATAACATTCCAATTTTATTATCACCCAAAATTGACATTCACTGATCGATAAAAGAATAAAATTCATTTTGTGAGTGTAGAAAATTTAAACTGCAATCTTCTTTTTAAATTTCTCACAGATAATACTTTCACAATAAATCCTTAAGGAGAAATATAACTTCGTAGACATTTTCTCTATATTTAATAATAGTGAACGAGAATTGACTTTTATGAGTTCGTAAAGATATGAAATTTTATGGTAGTCAAGAATTGAATTGAAAAGTGCTCTATTAAAATTCACCGACATTTTGTATAAATAGAAATTGGAGAATACGTCTGTGGGGAATACAGTTTCGAAGATTTGTTTTCGATTTATAACAATAATTTAGTATTGCAGCTACTCAGAGCTGACTTTTATGATTCCATAAAAGAAAATTAAATTTGTTTCACAAGAATAAAAAGTGGTGCTGTAAAATTTCCTTTTTATATTTTATATTTTATAGAGACAAAACCTTTTCAAAAGTAAGAGTCGAAAGTGAAAAAAATACCTTCTACTTGAAATTGAAAATGTTAAAAAATATGATTAAAAATTAACTTTTGCAGCTCGATAAAATTATTTATATATATATCTTCTACGTAAAATAGAAGCTTTTATGAAATATTATTATAAATAAATTGCTACGTGTCGATAAAAAAATAAAATTAAATAAAATAAGAGTATAAACGAAAATATTTCTTCTATTGCAAACCTAAATTTTTATGAAATATTATTAAAAAATATCTTTTACGAGTCGATAAAACAATAAGATCAAACTAAATAATCTTTCATTGAGAATGGAACCTTCTATGAAATATTATTGAAAATTAATTTTCATGACTGAACAAAAAAATAAAATTAATCAAACTAAAAAATCGAAGATGAATATCCCATAGTATAGTTTCCAATAAAAATCGAAGTTTTTATAAATTACCATTAAAAATTAATTTCCGCGATATAATGACCGGATAAAATTAAATAAAATGAAAAGTCGAGGATCAAAAGGATACGTCCTTTTAGAAACCAAACTTTTTATAACAATCATAATCAAAAATATTCGCGTGCTTGTTAATACATTAATTAACACGTTGACTGCCATGGTAATCACTAGTGTCTGGCGATACTAATTTTTTAAATTTATATTTCTTTTATTCTAACTATTTTTTGAAAATTTGAACAACGTGAATAAATAAAGATCTTTTAGATCTCCATCTTTCTTACATCATAATTAAAGATCTTTTCTTAAATAATAGAGATAGAAAACATGAATAATTCGCTCAATTTTTTCTCTTTTTTTTTTGCCATATTGCTTGATAATTCGTTATTGTATCATAAGAATAATGGAAATTTTATCGTTGCTCTTGAGCGTACTATTTAAAAAATGGCAGTCAAAGTGTTAATATTTATTGCACACGTATTTTTTTCGGAGTAACGGTGTGATGGTAACCTTTCTCTTTTGGTTTTAATATTTCCAGAATTTGTAGAAGAAAGGAAGCAATTATTGGAGCTCGTCGGGCCTGAGCTGCAATCGATTTATGACGACATGGGAATCGAGGTAGGAAAAAGGAAGTGGAATTTCCTTAATGAAATTTGTTTGTTGCACGTTAAACGAAATTTAGCTCAGCCAATTTAGCTTAGCCTTCTTTTCATCCTTTTTATATATTGTTTCCCAGAGATCCATTTAAAGGAATATTTAATTAAAAATTAATATATTAAATCGTTACCAAATGGATCTAACTATTAATAATAATTCCGTAATATCGATAATATTATATTTATAAATAGAGAAATTAAAAGTTGTACATTTAATTATAACTTTGTCACTTTATTTTATAATTTTATAGCACTTTATTTAATTTGTCAGCTTTTAAACATTTTTTAATTCGATGTGAAAGTATTTAAGAAAAGAATTAGTATATGTATATTGTGATTGTAATAAGAAATGAAATTTGAGATTAATATTAACATTGTTTATTTCTTATATGGAATTTGAGATTAATATTAACATTGTTTATTTCTTAATAAGAGATTTATTTATTAATATAGACATGCTTTGTTTATTATTAATTATTTATACTGTGTTTTGCTTTGGAAATAAATATATTTGGGAATTTTTGGAAATAATATATCGAATTTGAATTTCGTTTTAAAGTAAATTAAATTTAAACAATATTTTTATTATTAGAATAAATGATTACTTCCCATAACCTGAATAATAAAACCTGAATAACCTGAATAATTAAATATTCTTCTAATTGTAAAAGAATAGCAATTTTATTTATTTAAGAAAAGGAAATTATTTTAATCTGACAGATAAATTTATATATTTCACTAATTATAACTAAGCATAAGTTTTATAAATTATCATTAAATTGTAATTTTGTAAATAACAAAAATGTTAATTTATAGAAATTTCTAACACAAAGTGCATTTTATTGTGAAATAGGTAAATTCAGTCTTTCGTTATTTTAAATTTTATTTATAATATTCTGATCTCCGAATGGTTGATTAAAAAATAAAAATGCTAACAAATAACAGGTTCTGTTGGTGGACATGCAATATGCAACGGACGAGAATCCTGATAGAAATCCATTCTTAGCTGAATATTTTTTCGATGAAATACACGCTGCTTATCAACACTCGAGGGGTTGCTTCTTCGTGGTAAGTTTGAAAAATAACATAAACTAACGCGAAGTAATCTAACAATTAAAAAATAATACAAATTTAAAGGAGCTCTTAATATACAAAATTCATACATCGATTTAAATTCATTCAAAAAATTAATAAAAATTTAGAAAGACTATTAATACAGAAAATGCATTTTCAACATACTTTATAATCATTTTGCACAATATTTCAAACATTTATATCGCACTCGACTGTCGCGATTATTAATTTAAATGTGCCCTTATTCGTTTCAATTTCTCTGTAATCTTCTTGATTTAAATTGATACGACGAAGACCTTCGTGTCCTATAGTTGACTCGAGATACCGGGGAATTATTAATTGTAACTCTGTGAATGAAATTTAAAAGGGAGACAACTGAGGAAGTAATGATGGCACGACAATGTTCGCTTTAAATTGCAATGGTAAAAGGAGAATACCGTAGAAAGGATTTAAAAGCCGAACCATTTGCATTTTACCGATGATTTGAAATAAATTGCTGTTGCATTTTAAGCTCGCAGATTTAACCTGAATGCAATATAAAACAGCATAAAATTTATGGAAGAAATATTTTTAACCCTTCCGCGAGTATAATGTGATACGCGTAGTAAAGAGAAAATTGCAAGATTATATCAGTAAAATTAGAAAATAATTTTAACGATATACGCAACAATTTACATTTATCGGAGATACGAACCGCGGTGCCGCTAGTGAGTTAAATGGAAAGTCGTCCTAAGGCTGCCTTAAAAGGATTAGAATCATATACATACATATTTATGTATTACTCGTGAAAGGATTAGAATCATATACAGGTAGCCCTCCTATAACACGGTTTCACTATAACACGATTCACAAATTACGGGAACCCTCCTGCAACACGGCATCCTCCTAACACGGTTTCGCTCTAACACAATAAGAAAATTGCAAAAACCTTTGTATAGCACTGTACTTCTACATGAGCAGTGACGACGAAGAAATTTATTAAATTAAAGTTGCATTAAATTAAAATAATATTTTTGTTTTTTTTTTTTGTTTTGTGTTGTACATACACTTATATTTTTAATAAAAATTAAGTTGTTTATGTAGAATTTAAACAAAATTTGTTTCTAGTGAGTTTTCGGAACGTAACCTCCTTTTTTGTACTGCGTCTGGGTCTCATACAACACGGTTTCACACAACACGGCATTTTCTGGTAACCTATCTACCGTGTTATAGGAGGCCTATCTGCACATACATATACATACAAATGATATATATAATATATAGATGAAATATTTTTTTCGAAAATATTTTATTCTCCATAAATACAAGTAAAATAATTAAGAACAAATTGACAATAATTAGATAGAATTGCTAAAGAACTAACATGATCAGTGAATAGATTAATCCAATGGATATAGTACTGTTTATAAGGCTATAAGCAGAACTGTATTGTTAAATGTCAATATCTGTAGCGATAATTGATCTATCCATTGATCATTCTTGAATTGCCATTACCTAGTCTATCACTCTTATATCCTCAAAAATTACCAGTTTATTCCCTCCAATTGCACGAATTTAACCGAAACACCTAAAACTCGAATTTTCTGTTTCAAAGCTGCTAATCGGTGACGAGTATAACACCGGATGGCTGCCGACGAAGCTCACTTCCGGAACCTACGAAATCCTTTCGAGTCGCTGCGACAGCATGAACCAGTACTACGAAGACAATAGTAATTGCTACGTCTTAAAGGCTGGCAGGTAGTTACGTTTTATTATGCCATTGCATAGAGGCGGAATGGAAATGGCGGGGGCGTGAGTGAGGCCGATAAAAAAGACAGGGACGCAGCTTTTATTACTCCAATCTGAGCTTACAGTTTCCACTGTTTTCATTTTCGTTCTGACTTCTCCCCCTATTTGTTCTCTCCTCTCTCTTCTTTTATTTTTCCATTTATCGTGTGTCTTCTGCCGTGATATTGCATCATGTAAACTTGCTTTAGCTGTTCTTTTCTGTGCCTGTATATAGGGAGTCTTGTATAATTACTTTTGCTTGCAAAATTTCCTTTCTTTCGAGGATTTTTATTTTATTTTTATTTCAATCACTGCTATTTGTAACTGTTATTTGTATTTTATAAAAAAACTGTGGAAGAATTAACGAAGTTCAGTTGAATACATTTTATTTTCACGTATGGACATATTTATGGGTCACCGCATATATTGGAAGAATATTGCTTTTTGGATTATTTTGTTTGAGAATCTGGTATATGTGGACTCAGTGAGTCTTTCATATGGCTTTTTCGGCCGAAGCAAATATTCTAGAAATGGAGAGAGTGTCCCTAAATAAGAATGTCTTGCAAAGAGGTTGCATGAGCAGACAAATCATGCGTCAAGATCTTATGCTTATATTATACATGATTATCATATTAAGAGTGAATACTTCAATATGTCCTTTACCTTCAGGGATATCGTGTATTGATACATATCATCTTATCGTGTTATTTCGTATCTGTTGGATGTGTGAGAAGTTATGTATTAATAAATACGTAATTCCTACATATCTTTATCTTATCATATTATATTATGTCATATTAACTCATGTCATTATCTTATCATGTTCTTTTATATCCTTATCTTGTTGTGTTAATTTGTATCGTCATCTAATTATACTATATTCAGTATTTCATGTCATTATCGTATTATTATATTATGTCACAATATTTCATATCATAATCCTATTGTATATTGTATATTGTATATTACTCCATATTATTTTATATTCTTATCGCATTATATTGTATCATATTATTCATTCAATACCATTATCATATTATGTCATATCATATTATTTATTCAATAACATTATTATATTGTATCATGTCATTATTATTCATTCGATGTAATTATCATATCATATCATATTATTTATTCAATACCATTATCATATTATATTATATCATATTATTCATTGAATATTGTACGATATAATATTGTATCACATTATTATAATATATTATATCATACAATAATATATGACATGCCATATGATATTATTATATTGTCATAACCCGTCATATAATATTGTATTACATTATTTTATATCCTCATTTTATCATCCTACATTACATTATTATATCTCAACATAATATATCATATTATATTATATCATATCATATCATATTATATATTATTATATTATTATATCATATCATATTATATATTATTATATTATTATATCATATCATATTATGCCATATTATATTATATTGCCAAATATTTTAAATTAGCAGCGAAACATTGAATCAATAGAGTTTTAGGTATATTTCAATGCAAATGGCGTTTATTTTTTAAAAAAACTGAAAAAACGCTTCTTTTGGATGCAAATAGGAATTCTATAGAAATTAGTATGCAAGACCTGACGTATATGCTTCAGCAATAAAAGAAATTTGCAATATTAATATACAAGAATTAAAAGATTCAAAATACTACCATTATTATAATTACCATTATAATATAATTATAAAATATAATAATAATTATAATAAAAAACAAAATCATATTTGCAAAATATGACATACATTTTGTAATGTGTAATATGGATTATTATTTTATAATAAAAATAATATTATACATTAATATATATAATTGTTAAAAATACATAAAAAATGTATTAAAAATTATTCGGAAAAATGTATGAAATAACACAAAAGAAACGTTTTTCTTTACTTTTTCTATTCTAGCCAAGTGACATAAAGGATCAAAGTGCATTTTATATAGGGTGATACACGAAATGTAACGACTCAAAGTAATTCACAAAATACTTATTATATGAAAATTTTGTGTGGACCAAAGTTACAAAAATTCGAAGAGTTTCATGCTGTTTTGCTTTTTTATCGCGATAACAATATCATTGAATATACTTATCTTCTAATACGAGATAATTTATTTCAGAATATCTCCTTAATTATTAAGTTTACATCCATTTTATATGATACCTTTTCATAAACAATTTGTCGCTATATTAGAATTTATAGAAAGAAAACTTAGTTATTATAGATAAAAGTGATCATATTACTAAACATTTTCTTCGAAATCCTGCAGCTTTTGTTCCTAACATTTCCTCGCACAGTGAATATTTTATCAAATCATTTTGAATCGTTCTGAGTTACTTTGACTCATTCTATAATATCCACACGTGTACTTCAAAATGAAAAGAGGTTACAAAATAGAGATTACAAAAATTGGGAAGTGGAAAGTCATTTCTAACATTGAAAACGTGCCACGCTATAAAAATTCTTAATACGCAAGATAAAGCCGAAACTCGAAGTACCCACGGATTGAAAAATCCTTATAAATCCATAAACAGCTGAATGGACCCTTAAATCACTGCTAACGACTGAAAGAAGAAGAAAATCCAGCAACCTTTTCACCGAGAATAAAAAGCGACAGACAGGAGCATGGACGTCATCCCCCGACTATGTAGTACTTTTAAATCCCCTTTTATAAATAAACGCTGTACACACCGCATGCCTTGCAATCTAACTCCGAAAGATATCGTGGAACAGCGTGGAACAAAGTTCAGCCGAAGTTCGGAATCTTTTCAAACATTATCACGCTTCGTTTCTTCCATGGAAACCCTGCTTAAGACTCGCAGAGCGAACGAAGTCAGGAAGAAGCGTATTATTTCCGGCGAAAGGGAATCCAGCGAGAAGAAGTCGGGACAAAAGTAATCGTGGAAGCTCTCGAAGTGGGAATGAAGGAGAAGAAGAGGGAAAAAAGGGAAAAGTAGAGAAAAATTGAAACGGATGAGAAGGAGAGTTCGAGCTAACGGAGGAATCTCGAGTAGCCGTGGGAACTGGATCAAGAGAGAGAAAACGAGAAGACCATGAAAAGGAGAAAGTGTAAAGTGGATAGGGTGGAAAAGTTCGGTAAAGTGAACAAAAAGGACAAAGTTGGGAAGGAAAATGCGAATAATGCAGTGAATATGTGCAGGGTTTATCCATATTAAGTCCTAAGTTTGTAACTAAATACATTCATGCACGAAGGTAGTCGATAGCATTTGCTATGTTTAACAACTGAAATGTTTAAAATAATATGGTACATGTAGTAAAGAAGAAACTGTAAGATTATATCAATTATAATATTATACCAATTTGTGCCAACAATAATGCAATATTGTGTAAATAATATGACACACGTATTAAGAAGAAAATTCCAACATTATATCAATAGAATTAAAAACTAATTCAACGGCATATACGATATCTACTATAGATATAGATACGAACCGTGGTGGCGCTAGTGAGTTAAGTACAAAGTCGACTTAACCACTTGCGCAATAAAGACGTGCCACGCACGTCGAGATGCTTTTGTTCCAAAGCCACCAGCCACGTGTATACCACGTCGATAGGCATTTATCGCAGAAACAAAAACGACGTGTCCGTCACATCGGCTAACAGTTAGCTCGCAGACACGATGTGGCGTCAATGTAACGCCTTACCACATGTTGTATTGTAGAGCACGGCACGGCAACCAAAAGTTAAATCGTAGCACAAGTGGTTAAGAGAGCCATACGCAACAGAAGATGAATCGTCATTATATCTCTTATTCCTTAATTAATGACATTTTTGACTAATATTATACTATGCAATATTTATACAAATCACCAATGGCACATATTTGTAACAAATATATTCTAAATACTGTATATATGCTTGAATTATTTTCTAATTGTACTGACATAACCTCGAATATTCCTCTTTGTTATACACACCATTATTTCAAATATTTCATTTTAACACATATATCACGTTTCAAAATTGGCATATGTAAATTTTCGAATACTTCCATGTACATATGAGTGTATATCATATTCTTCTGATATAGGAAGTTATCCAGATAACGAATCAGTTTTAGATAATTTTACAAATGTAATGTTTTCAAACGGAATTCAAACTTTGAGTTGTTTGGCCGAAAGAAATGTTTTATACTTAATATCAGAGAAGGTGCCTGTTTCTTTCTCCTATTTTATTCAATTTACTTGAAACACATTGTATATATTTATTTTTACTGAGAAATTAATAGAGATTTTAGGTAAATTAAGGGATAAGAGAAATCCACGAATGTAAATTGAACACGATTTGTAACACATTACATTTTACAAAAGAATATAATATTATATGATAAGTAGAAAAGAAACTTGGGTTCGTAATAAGAAACTGTCAGACGCCGCCTAGTGGTATAATGGTTAACCTAAGAAAAAAGGCGGTAAGTTTGAAACTCCAATAATTTTCAAAGTTGCTTGTGGCAGAATTTTACTCCATTTTTCTAGTTTGCATCAAATATTCGAGCGAATGGCACATTCTCAGTTCTTAGATGGTACAGTACTATAACTATTATTTTGGTAACTAAGTGATTGCAGATTTTAAATAAAAAGGAAAATACAAAATTTTTTAGTGAATCTCAGATTTTGGTGTCGTCTGGGCTGGTTCATCTTGCATCACCCACGATCTTTTCCGATTAACGTTGTTATAAACTATCCACTTTTCGTCGTCAGTTATCAGTCGTTTCAGAAATCGATCAATTTCATTGCGTTTCAGAAACGAATCGCAGATGCTAATGCGTTGCGTCAAATGAATTTATTTAAGCTGATCGAGATTCTTGACATAACCAAGCCGTTTTAATGTTTTTTTTGAATGCATGTATGCGATACATTGAGCTTCTCTGCAATCACACGTGTTGTACTATGACGATCTGAATCGATAATGGCCTTGATATGGGTCTCATCAACTTCAACTGGACGACAGATTGTTGCGCACTTTTCAGTGAAAAATCATCAGAATGAAATTTGGCAAACCAATTTTGACACTGTCTTTCTTTCAAGGCTTCATTCCCATTTACGGCACATAACTTCTTGTGTGCTTGCGATGCGTTCTTGCCTTTTCGGAAATAAAACAATAAAATATGTCCGAAATGCGCATCTTGTTCTTCCATTTTTAAATTGGGATAAAAACGAAACTAAATAACTAATCGATACAATTTTTCAACTAAATTAAAGGCGGAAGTCCAAACAACAAGGAAACAATATAAGTTAGGTGCCTTGAAACGTTGACAAAACAAAAGAACGTGCAAAAGCCATCTGTTGATAAAATCCGCAATCACTTAGTTGCCAACCCAATATAACCTGTTAGTCTTCTAAAAGTAATTGATCATCTATGCTATTTTATTCAGGTACTCATTACTACGATTATTTAATAATTAACTATTTCTGTGGTATTTCTAGCAATTTTTCGAATATATTTCTAACAAAATCATTTTATATCAAAAGGTTAAAAAATAGAATTAAGGGTTAAGCTCTTTAAAATTATCTTTTCTAGACTTTAAACAATTTTTGAAACTTTACAAATAGAAAATTGTGAATCTCAATTACACTATTATTAATTAAAATGTAATTGTGTTGTAATCCCTAAATTGCAAATTTCAATTATGTTATTATTCGTTAAAATGTATTTGTTTTTATCTTTAAGAAAAATTTTGTAAATTATTAATTGTCACGTAGTATCTATAGCATATTATGTTTGAAATAATTGGCAGATTGGAAACAGTGAAGAACAGTTGGTATAGTTTGGAGTCAACTATAAAGGAGTCATTGAAGAAGGCTGCGGAATCTGCAATTTCGGATCAGTGTGATAATGAAGAAATTAGGGACATATTGAAGAGCACTGCGGAAAGACAACTAGAGTATGCTTTAAGTAAGTTACTGCATTTTGCTGATTTATGTGCCCAAATATACATTACCAATTATTCGTATTTACGATTTATTTATCTATTTATCTATTTATTATTTATCGATTTATATTCATATATACATAATTTATTTGTATTATAGACTACTTATATTTTATGTATATTTTGTATAATTTATTTCCAATATTTTTAAATATCAATATAGAAATATTAGTCTTATGAAAAATTAATAGTATTATCGAGTTTCTATATTGCAAACCACAATTACAAAGAAATATCGTAAAAATTGGGAATAAATACAAATAACTTAAAAGAATGAAGAGAAAAAGGGAAGAAATTTACAAAAATGTAGATTATTTAATTATTTTAGATTATTTAGTAATATTTAGTAAATTTTAGATTATTTCTTAGACTATTTTGTAGATTATCGGAAATTAATTTGAAAAAAGAGAATACTAGTAAATTACTTGAAGCTTAAATACTTGTTCAACAAATAATTAAAAACAAAATAACAACTAATAAATTATTCAAAATAAATATTTATAGATACTTTAAAGTGCAAAACAAATGATTGAAATTTGAAATATTATACTGGAAATTCAATATTCTAAAACAGGAATTAACGGAACTCATGTACTGGGTTAACAAGTCATAAACCATACGTATTCCATTACCACTTCATTTACTAATTACTCGAAACAAGTTAGTACTGGCATGTGACAAAAAATCATGCAAGTGGCAGAAACATAACATGGTATATATGGTCATTTTTATATCATTTTCCAAAATTTTTATACAAATTTCTGCATAACAAATAAATGGTGCATAACAACTATAGATATATCGTGATTACAGCACTTTTAAATCTCTTTCAGATATCAATTTAAAATAATTTCAAAATAACAACTCCAATTTTAATAATTCTTATCTAATTTCAAATAATTTCGGAGTGATTATTATAATTCTAACGATTTTTAATAATTTTCAAAATTACAATTTCGATTCAAAAAATTCTAATTGACTTTGAAAATTTAACTCCAATTTCAGTGATACCTATTTAATTTCAAAAGACGCCAAAAATTCAAGAACAATTCCAAATATTTCAAAATTTACAATCCTAGTTCCAATAATTCCAAATAATCTCAAATAATTTCAAAATTACAACTGCGACTTCATCGATTCTCGATAAATCCTCAACAAATCCAAAATTGCAACTCCAATTTCAATAAAAATTCCAATTATTTCTGTCTAATTCCAAATAATGGAACAACTATAATCGCAGTTCCGACAATTCCAAATAACGGAACAACTATAATCGCAATCCCGGCAATTCCAAATAGTGGAACAACTATAATCGCAATCCCGGCAATTCCAAATAGTGGAACAATTATAATCGTACTCCCGACAATTCCAAATAATCGAAAAATTCCAATTCCAATTACAAAAATTTCTATTGAGTTCGAAATAATATAGATGACAATTTCGAATGCAATATTCCCACTGTTACCATTTTCTTTCAATCCTCTTACCATAAAACCGTTTTTACAGAGCTGGACGAAACGGGTGATGGCGTGATAGCTGTGACACGCTCGTGGAAAGGCAGAAAGAGCCACAGAGCAGTGGCTTCGTTGAAGTCTCTGGTGAACAGTCGTCTCCCAGCTGACAATATAATTAACGTCGAAGTAGAGCAGAAAACTGGAGGGATTAATCCTGACTATAGGTCCCATAGGGGCTACCTGGCTCATCTTTGTCGCCTAGTCGTGAATCGCGTGCAGAATTTGGTGAATGCTTCCATAGAGGCGGACCCAGAAATCAAGAGCAAGAAGAAGATGGTGCAGGAAATTTACGCGGAGAGCCTTATGCACCTGGCGCTTCTTAGGGAGATTAAACCTTGCGAGGATAATGAGCACGTTGAGAGGATTAAGGAGAGTTTGTTAGCTGGTGAGTCTTTCGAGTAATTCCATCAATAAACATTTATATATATTGCACTTTATATGTAATTATTTTTACATTTGTATTTTCGTGTTATTTATGTTTATTTATTCGTATTTCTATGTTGTTCATTTCTATATTTCTGTAATTCAGGTTCTTATATTATTTATTCCATGTTCTTATATGCATGTGTTTCTACATTGTTTGTTCCATGTTTCTACATTCATGTTTTTACATTATTTATTTCCTTTTCAAGTAATTCCATCAATAAACAATATTTCTATACATAGAGTACAATTCATGTATTTAATTTTATATTTTTATATTTATTTATTATTTATTTTTATATTTATTTATTCGTATTTCTATATTGTCCATTTTAACAATATTAACATTCATTAATTAACATTAAAAATAATTAACATCATTAATTGATTAATTAACATTCATTTATTCTATGTTCTTATATGTACGTGTTTCTATATTGTTTGTCCTATATTTCTATATTCATGCTTTTACATTATTTATTTCTTTTTCAAATAATTCCACCAATAAACAATATTTCTATACATGGAGTACAATTTAAGTATTTTTTTATATATGTTTTGTATGTTATTTATTTCTATATTTCTCTATTGTTTATTTTTAAATTTATTTATTCATATTTCTATATTACTCATTTTTATATTTCTACTTTTACATTATTTACATTACATTCTATATTTCTTGTGTATAAATTGAAGAGGTTTTGTAAATTTTGTAAATCTAACCACAACTTCAAATATACACTACATATATTATATATTATATATTATTATGTATATTATATATAGTGTACATTTGAAACTAAGATTAAACTTCTTCAATTCATACAGAAGACTAACACAATGTTTCATTTTAATCTGCTTCGATTATATTGTTTTTATCTTTAATTCAAGTCCTCAACTTTAAATTAAAACCTAATTCATTAACGAGAAGTTGACTTTCAGTTTATTCAAATACCTCTGTGAAGTTTACCACTCTTAAAAGTTTCCGCGCTAAATCTAGCGATACGAATTTTAATTAAAATATTTAATTCGTTCTCTTGAATTATCCGAAAGTATGATCCCTTAAGCGCTCTGAGAGCTAAAGGCTGACGCATATGCACCACTCTTTGTCAGAACGCTTTGATGGTTCTTTAAACTCCTATTAACAGATTCTAACACATTTTTCTGGCTATTAATTTATATTTAACAGGGAAATTTCCTTTGAACAGATCTGAATCGTATTGCTCGTTGATTGCTACCACGAGGAAACAAATAAGTAAATTGCATCTACCATTTTAGGTATCAATAATTTGTTTAAAAAATAATTTATAGCATGATTACTTCAGAACCCGAATACTAAAATTAAAGTAAAATTAAAGTAAATTTTATTACTTTATTTATTAATATTTCGAAGTGCTTAGAATATTGGAAAATTCAATTTTATAATTAATTTATATCGAAGATTTATCATTACAAAAGATCAATTATTATAATATTATTAATATTATAATTATAATATAATATTATTAATAAAAATTTGTGTAACTACGTGTAGAAGAATGTTTCGTTTTATTGCGTTAATCAAATATTAATTAGTCACTGTGTAATTAAAATATTAGTCATTAGTATCTCAGTAGTTAATAATAGAAACTAATTTATTTCGTTCGAATTATATTGTTCAACTGAACACGAATAC